AATCTAATTTACTAAATTTAAACGTTTAATAAAAAATACGTTATAATAATTTACGTAAATTAATTGTATTTATATAACCTAATTTTATAATTTATAAGCTATGTTTATATAAAGCGAATTAAATGCAGTCAAACTGTGTAAGCAGTTTTGCGGGGTATGGTTTAAATAAAAGTGTAACTTTTTAAGAATAAATATATTACATACATACACGTTTTACATTTATTACCGTTTAGCACTTTTGACTAACGTGTACACGTAGTTTTGTTAGGTCAACGTTCGTTAGTCATTATGCCACGAAGGTGGTACTTATACGCAATGAAGATGGGCATATAAGTAATAAGTATATTCTCCAATTATTCAAAAAGCTTACAAACTGTGGAATCGACTCAAAAATAGAGCATACTCATCCCTCAAAGGTCTGCAAAGCACCCACTAGAGTGTCCAAAAAGGCCAGTCATAAGTCAGTATCCTATAAAAAATATCACCAGAAGATGCCAAACAGCAAAATGAGTCATAAGACTCTTCAAACAAAATTTTAATTAGCTGCAACATGCCATTGCGATATTTTGTTGTTATTACATTTTTTACGACGTTGCTTTGCAACTTTGTATACGAAAAACTAAATATATAGAATGTGTGCATATGATCAGTATGTACACACACATGTATGGAGGGAGTAATGGAGTACTATTCTAATCTGTGGGCGGAAGCTCGAATCGTCGACGACCCTTTCCGTTGGCGTTGCGTGGAGATGTGGGGTCACTCTTATCTTCTACCGCATTTATCAAGGAGTGTTCAGAGGATTAGATTCAGATTAATACTTGCAGCTGAGCTTCTTCATCGGACGTCGAGGTGATACGGGTGGAATTCATATTCTATACCGTAGTCCGTCGTTCCATAGCTGAGCGTTTTTAAGGCAGTTTTTGCCGCGCACCACTATGTGAAACCAGCTGCCCACTGAAATATTTCCGAAACAATTTGACTTAGGGTCCTTCAGGAAAAAAGCGTACCAATTCGCAAGCCCTCTGGCTTTGAGAGTGTCTATGGGCAGCGGTATCACTTAACATCAGATGAGCCTGCCCGTTTGACACCTGTTCCATAAAAAAAATTAAGCTGACATACTCGTATTAAGCTCTGTGAGGACTGGTTATCAGAAGCCTTAGGGTTATATATCCCCAAGCAGGCACTTGATTGGAACCAGCACGGAGAGCGGAGCTTGCAGACGAGGCAAAGAGAGCAGGAAAGACTTGGTGTGAAATACGAGACCGAACACGATGGAGACTCACTGTGGACATCCTCTGACCCATCTAGATAAGTCATATTCAAATGAAAGAATGCTCCTTCTATGTCTGTCAATAAATCTGTGCAAAGTTGGAGCAAGTTGCTAGTAACATTATATTTCCACCTGGCTATTTATGTGTTTTGACGCGCGGTGTAATACTATCCGTTCAATGACCTAAGAAATTGCATGCATGTTTAAACACAGTACACAATAGTTTTGGTCGGATACAATCTAGAATATTGTTGTGTCAGGGAAAAAAACCACACTTTAAAACGCAAATTACTTTTATAGTATTTGCAGTCACCACCTGTGTCTACCCGAATAAATAATAATTGGTACGGAATTGCGGCTTGCTTCAATATCAGTGAACAAGATCTAGAAATACAAACTCGTCTGCCAAATGTGTATAGTCTTTAAGCCACAATAGTTTGCTTCCCGCTAGACACATTTTATTTTAACTTTGTTTAATATTCCAATCACCCGAACTAAGATAATATTTATTTAATTAATTTAAACACATTTATTTAAAATCAGAACAGGAAAGTGAGCAGGGAAGTAGGCTGTGCTATCTTATGCTAGCACGGTATTGTGGGAAGATTTAGTGTGAATGTAAACAATTATTATGATACTCGGAAATTGTGACATTCTTGTAACTTAACAAAAACAAAATATTAATCTAAATAAAATACATATTTCTCTAGACTATCAATGCTTAGTAGCATTTTTCGTAGGAATTTAATATTATTTGTCTTATTATTGAAGAAAGACCTTCAATTCTTTTCTAATTATTGAAGTTTGTCTTACTAGAAGTTCAGGCACCTCTCTTTCGAATTCTTCGCGATTTTAGCGGATTGATCGGTGCTTATCCGGAGCTGGATATATTCGGTAGTGGGCTGATCGGTTTTACAGAAGGCATTTTTAGGTGCCTATCTTGAACCTAATTCGCTGTTTTGCTGATGATATTTTTTCCTGCTTTACCAAAAATTTCTGGTAATTTTATTGTATGCTTATTTTATCTTGTATATATTTTAACTGTATTTCTTAATATATGTTTTGTAACACTTATGTTTACTTAAATTGTCATACATTTTAGATGGAAGATTTTGTAAAATATGCCGTAGATTTATTAAACTTTCTAAATTAATAGTCTTAAAGAAAGTGACAGAGACTTTATTGCCAGTTCTTCGTGCCTGATCTATTCCCTTGACTTGCGAACTGGTAGTAAATGTAAATTAAGAATCAATTTAACACCTTTTCTGTTGACGTTCATAAGTGTACTTGGTTTCCTATATGAGTAAAGTTATTTTGAGTTTGAGTTTGAATTTATAGACACGAGGCAGTGGTAGGCACTAAGCGCTAAGTATGACTACCGAATTTAAAAACGTATTTGATTTACACACTAATACCAAGATTCATTGGATGTATTTTTTTGGCTTTATATTTATTCCTTGAATTTTTTTACTACACTTAAAAAATGTTTTTTTCCTCCAGGACCTCTTATTGAGAATAGGCCTCCTCCAATTGACTCCATCGCTCTCTGTTATGAGCATTTCTCTCCCAATCCTCTCCACCAACTTCCTAAGCTCGTCAGCCCACCGTGCAAGAGGGCGAATTCGCTTTTATACGCGGTATGGCCCACCCATTTCCACTTAAGTTTTTTGGCTTTACCCCCACAACAAATGAATTACCACCAATTTGGATCAACGTGAGCGCCTGCCGCCGTTTTTGCTCTAAGGTCATCGGCATCCTAGAGACTCTTAAAAGTCCGTACTAAACAATGATACAGTTCATACATACATTGTTACAATGATTTAATTTACGTGCGACTACGAATTTATGCATATAAAATAATTATAGTGAAATCGCATTTAATCTAATATATAAAATTCTCGTGTCGCGGTGTTTGTAGTTAAACTCCTCCGAAACGGCTTGACCGATTCTCATGAAGTTTTGTGTGCATATTGGGTATGTCTGAGAATCGGACAACATCTATTTTTCATCCCCCTAAATGTTAAGGTCCACCCCTAAATAATATTTTTTTTTATTTTCAGATAATTTTTTTTATGATACTGCATTAAAAAATACATACAACCCCTAATTGTCACCCCTCTACGATCAACCCCTAATTTTTATTATAAATGATATAGGTACATGGCAAAACGACGTTTGCCAGATCAGCTAGTAAACATATAGAAATGTTTACAAAGCCATCTAAACAAAGGCTGTCAATCGTAATTTTGTAATGCCAATTCTGAGATAAGCTAGACTAAACATACTTTTCAAACTGAGCAACAATTTAGTCGCGTAGGCAATTCAAGTAATAATAAAGGATTTGAGTTGTTGGAAGGGCATGACGATGATATTTGAAGTCCCGAATAGCGTGCGATGATTAACTATTGTTTGTCTTAGAAATACAATAAAATACATTAGAAATAAGACGGGATTTAAAGATGGCCTATTATAAAAGGGGATCTCAACAGAAAGTTCATATTTAGTTGATCGATTAAAAAAATTAAGTCGTGTATCAAAAAAGTGTTTATTTATTATTAAAGTACACATTTTGGGAATTTATTTCTTAAAAATAATACTGTCCAAATGTAGGCCCTAGCGTTCGCGGCACTCATTTAGAGAAGTCTAAGTCGTGTATCGAACAATAAAATTACTTATGACGGCTCGGCAGGTGGACTCAGTGACGGCTGCCATTTCGTGTCGGATATTTTTCAATTGCGCCAGGGAAGTCGGCTTATTGGCGTAGACTTTAGATTTAAGATAACCCCATAAGAAAAATTCCATAGGGGTTAAATCAGGACTGCGTGGAGGCCAATTTATCTCACCTCTCCTGGAGATCAATTTGCCTGAGAAAATTTAACGAACTCGTGGCAGAGACGTATTGGACGTGTGTGACGTTGCTTTAGTGATAGATCAATTAAACTGCCCTACTTAAAAATTGCCCTAAAATTGAGTTGTTATAACGTCTTTAGTTTGTTATTTATAAATTAAGCGATCTTTAGATTTTCAAATTAAGACGTTTTTCCCTCATATCCGCGCCGCGTTCCTGATCTCCAATTTCTTTTATGGCATATTTGGCTTTTATGGCAAATGAGCCTTCGGGACATCCAAAAAGGACAGTCATCGCAGCCCAAGGACACTTATTTTTAGCGGTTGCGTTGCCGGCCTTTGAAGGAGGAGTACTTACACTCTTACTTTAAACAGTTGGAGGTCGTATCTCACAGGGAAGACCCCCACCGGGAGACGATTCCACAGTTCGCTAGTTCGCAAAACAAAGTTTTATGAAGCGGACCCTTGATGTGATGATAGAACTTTGAATTGATACAGCTAGTACGGTGTTGAAACGAGGCTGGAGGGATCAACGCAAACAATTCTTCAGATCACTCGATCACTTCGTAGAAAACGAAAACAATATATTTATTTATGTTTTAGTGTTTAGCGAGAAACAGCATCACTACCTAAGAAGGTTGTTTATTGCCAGTCCTTTTCTTCTACGCCTTAGATTTGAGAACTGGCAGTAAATGTAAAATTAGAAGCATGTTACATATTTCTTTTTTTGACGTTCATAAGTGTACATTGTGTTACCTAAATGAATAAATGATTTTTGTCTTTGACTTTGTATTCAGCCAACTTCCCTAATCGGAGAAATTTTTATATTTAGGGGTTATAAGTTAAGAAAGTTTACTATGAAAATAAATAGTCGACTTACCGATTTCTTTCTCGTATCTCTTCTGAAAGGGCTCCAGGTCCGGATCATACTTTATCTTCCTCGGCAACTTCAACCAGACCTGAAGGGCCTCTGCTGTCAGCTCGCCCGTGGAAACCAGGGAATACTGACTCCTGCTGAGCTCCGGTTCAGCATTTCTGGAGACACTCCGCCAATCTTTAACTTTTTTCAACAGTTTTTCCATTGGAACATAAAAGAGTCACACACAGAGCACTTCAGAGTATTTAGTTTCAAAACAATTTTCACTTCAAAACCCGTTCGCTTTATACGTATAAAGTTTCTCAGATACTATTAAGATTCTACCTAAAATATATATTTTCAGTTTTTGCAAAAGCGAAGCGTTTTCAGTTATTTCATTGGAATATTTGCAAGAAGAGATTTCACATAAATTTGTTTAATAAAAATATGATAATGTATGCTCTGAAACACACGAAAAATTTACTGAAATATGAAAGATGTATTTTGACGTTACTGATTATAATGCCACGTGTCTATGTGACTTAAAATATATGGCTAGTGTGGGACCATGATCTTTTTCTACGGTACATATTTCTATGCACAGATACCAAGGGACACTCCCTTCCTATGTAAATGTATGTATTTTCGGCTTTCATAAATTCCACAATTTCTTAGGCCCAAAGTAGACGGCGTGTGACAGGCACAGAAGACTGGCAAATTGACAAATGATCATTAAACAGTGCTCTGAAGCCCAGACCTAAAAAGCTTGTGGCGCCACTGATTAATTTAATTTATTGTTAGTAGTATGATTTTTTAAAATATAAAGTAAGCATAAACTTTTCGGTATGTTTAAGAAGTCACGATATGGTGTGACGAACATATAAGTAACACTAGCTGATCCGGCAAACGTCATTTTTCCATGTATATCATTTATAATAAAAAAAGGGGTTGATCGTAGAGGGGTGAAAGTTAGGGGTTGTATGTATTTTTTTATGTTGTATCATAAAAAAATAAGAAATTTATCTAAAAATTAAAAAAAAATAATTAGGGGGTACCCTTAACATTTAGGGGGATGAAAAATAGATGTTGTCCGATTCTCAGACATACACAATAAGCACACAAAATTTCATGAGAATCGGTCAAGCCGTTTCGGAGGAGTATGGCAACGAAAACTGTGACACGAGAATTTTATATATTAGATATATTGAATGCAATTCAGCAAGTGCATAAACATTTTTAATAGTCGCTCCGTGTTGCTTATGGTTTATTCATAGTAAAACTGAATTGCCTACAATGGTGTCATTGTTTGCATTGCACAACTACAGGGGCGAATTGCAAGATAAAAGATGGTTCGTCAATAAAAATACAACTTCAGCGTGATACAGCAGCGTGGTTCTACCTATATGATGGCAAAAGTGCATAGATAGCAATGGTAAATACTTTACTTTGATTAATTTTTTTTTTAAATCTACTGTTTGTTGCACCCATACAAAAAATTTCATATGTAATATAAACATTCTGAGTAGTGATTACAGCTCTGTACACAACAGATAACGACTCAATCCTTGCAATGGGTTTTAAGAAACTCGCCGACACGATATTATATATTACATTGGATAAAATACCTATGATTAGTAAATTCAAAATCTCGGGACCAATATTTTTTCTATGTACTCAATTAACACTTGCCCGTGTCGTGAACAAACAACGTAAAGAAACCTTCTTACACCCGAAAATGCCTCAGGCTGATCACCTAATCTCTACTAAAAATAGATATAAAACAATGCACCTAGGGTTGTAGCGCCACAGAAGGAGACAGCAGAACGAGAGAGGGAGCGCTTTGGGACGAATCCTAGGGTTAGAATACGCGGAGTAAATAGGAGAAGATATCCCCATCTCCTACCTTTGTAGTGTGTATTGCACCAGAGCATCACACACCGTTAACATCCCGGAATGCGAGACCGATGTCGGAGTCTCTGAAACGCGGCTTTTTAGGAACTACTCGAGGTGGTTGTAGTGGGTATTGCTCACCCAGTCTCTGAATAGCAGAGATTGTGCTGTGGGTCGAGTTCCGCATACCCCTGCAACTTTTGGGGGCAGGGTTACGCCACTGGGTTCGATTAAGAATAAAATAAAAACCCCTAATTTGAGGGTTTGTAGTATTGGTTCCCAGAAGCCCCCAAACCCTTTGCTCTGTTATGGGTTTGGCATTGGCATGTCTACTCATTACCCTTGAAGGTAATAACAGTCACACTCGGCCCGACCCTAATTAAAAATTCACACATTATGTCATTTTAATAACTGTAATATATTATTGTTAATTTATTACTGATATAAAAGATAAAAACTGAACTGGTCGTGTCCACATGTTATAGGGACGGCACCGCTTTTGATATTTTTGTATGTATGTCAATTTATATCATGTGTTTGTCCTAATTTTGTGGTCCAAAAAAAAAAAAAAAATATTATGTGATACAGACTTTTGAATTGCAATTTTACCGTTTTTTCAGTCGCTGTTTTTAATACATTTGAATACCCTAAGAGTATTTTTTTTTATAGAACAGGGGACAAATATAGTTTTTTTCCTGCTCGAAAAATACGCAAACTTTCTCCCACAATCTGCCAATATTCATTATGGACTCTACAGACTATATTCTCGTATGTATTGAACGCTCCCGAATTAAGTTTGCCCATACAGCGAAGAAAACATGTCTTAATAATGTTGCGGTCATGTGTATATGTAATAAGTAATTTCGGGAAAGATATGAATAAATGAAACACACAAGAGCTACACCACAACCTGAAAGCTGGAACTGTCAAGAACTTCTCTTCTACCGAGAAGAGAAGCCCGTAGAAAGAGACCAACAAGTCAATTCAACTTCATAATTACTGAATGTCCTCGTGACTGTATTTCAAGGTATAGTAGTATAGTAACACGTGTTAAATACAATAACTAAAACACAATTTAAATTTATGGTAAAAGTGTGATAATCTCTTGTGTACAATCGTGTTTATTGCTCATAAATAATTATCTAGCATAACATATCTTTATATGTACAGTGAACTAGACAAATGTATTCATTATCAGGAGTTTAACCTGTGTTCTGCATGTATCCATTTTTTAGTAGATAGTTATTTTTATTGAAAAATGTTTCTTAGAAATAATATACATGGCAAAACGACGTTTGCCGGGTCAGCTAGTAAGATTATAAACATTTTGTATAATATCGCATCAAATACGTTTTACCCCTACCATTCCATACCACTCATCTGTTTTTATCATAGACCACGAATTGCGGAACATTTGAACAGTCTAACTTCTAGTATGGACATTGGACATTGTAAGATCGGGAATGCGCGGTTGGGTAGAGAGGCGCAAAATTGTTTATTGTCCTTTTTCTTTCTCTGTCTAGCGCTCAAAGCTAGAGATTTAGCATTTAAAATCTCGATTTACCAAAAGTTCGAGTTAGGCCCTTGTAAGGGTGCGATATTTATGCAAAAATTTGTATCAAAACAATATGATTTTACCATTTTTTATAAAAGACGCTCAAGTTTACAAGAACAATATAAATTTTCTAAATAGGCTCGTGGAAAAACTACCCGCCATTGCAAAAATATGGCAACATTTTTATGCCCTTTTGTTTCGGCTTGAAACAATTATTGTTTTCTAGATATTTACGAATTCCATTCTTAGATAGATAGTACCGGTGACCCGAGCTGTTGCTTTCCTCGCTCAACGAATAAGTATCTTGCGATTAGACTTACATCGAGGAAAAGCCGCCACAGGGACCAAACTTTTTAAATTTGTTTTAATGTTCTTTTTATTATTTTTTAATTATTTTTATTATTACCTACTATGTAGGTTAAGAAAATTGTAAATACGGTATATATGATTGTAATGTTTAGGTTTTAATAAATGATTTAAAATACTCATTAGATTCTTCAACTCGACGTATGTACCTACTCGTATATACAGTACTCGCGAAAGTTAAAGTTTTATTTAGTATTATATGAGACTGATCTTAAATTATCGTGATTCATGTGCACTTTTTACTTTTTATTTTTCATGTATTCTTTATTAGTTTAGTTTGTTTTTTGTTCCTGTTTAGTGGTTTTTCTTAATAACATTTTTTCACTTCATGTACCTTATCCTATTTAATACATTTTTTTCTCTCGCAGTGGTTGCCTGGTAGGGATCGCTCGAAAGCGATACGGCCGCCAGTTGCCATCGTTTTCATTTAATTATGTTCAACTTTTATATTGTAATGCAACGAAGTGATATAAATAAATAAAATTCATTTATTTTGTACACAGGACCCAAAAACCAAATGTTAAAGGTACCACAGGGACCAAACTTTTTAAATTTGTTTTGACTTTCTTTTTAATAAATAAATATATTATTTTTATATATGCTCCTAACTGTACAGCAATTTGCGATAATATATATTGATAGTAATGACGTTAATATGCTAATTATCGTTAAACAAACCGAGTAGATTAATAAACGAGGTTTACGTTCGTGTTAAAAGAGCTCAGATCAGAAAGAAAAAGAAGAATTGCATTTATTAAAATGCAAAAAAATAAATACGAATAAACTTTAACCAAATATGAGACCAACTCAGCCTCACCAACCAACGGTCCATAAAATAAATCAGTGGAGATTTTGTGGAGTAATTTTTAGCCTTATATTACTTTATCTGTTACATGATTTGTCAAACGAACAGGCAAGTAGGTGATCAGCTTCCTGTGCCGACACGTCGTCGATTTTTTGGGTATAAGGCAAGAACGATGTTTCCTACACCGTTCGGTGCACAGCCGGGGAACGAATCTAGGACGTCACAGATGGTAGTCCTACGCTAAAGCCACATTGCTCATGCTCAATCTTTAAGAAATATTCTAATAGTTGGTTTCCCAGCCTTCTGCTCTTTGTATGACATACGATTATCCAATCCTCTAAAATGGTACAGTGTTGCAGGAAACTTTTGCAATAAACTATTAACCAAGATTTAGAAATTCAATAAGGCGTACATTACAATGTAATTTTAGGTCTCTTAACTCTCTTAACTGACATAGGCAATTTAAATTACAATTGACAACAGAATTTTGTGAATTTTTATTGAAGTTAGATTTAGTTCTTTCCTTAAAATGCTTTGTATGTGTGTTAGTATAGTAAGAAAAATGGCTGCGCAGCCTTCCGTGTGTGAGTTTTATTTCGTAATCTGTTAT